CGGCGCCAACACAGGGGTCGAAGGAGAGTCAGCCCCCAAGATTCGCGAAGAGGCGAAGATGGACCTCGTGGAGACGCTCCTTCCCGCACTCTTGTTCGGGTTGGGCCACTCGTTGGTCCCCGCCCTCGGCGGCACATTCTCCTACGCAACCGCAAACACGGTTGCGGCAAAGGACCTTCTCGGCGTGCGTTCTTCCCCATCTCTTCCGCTGCGCCGACCTGACGCTTTTCCCTAGCTGTGGTCCTGCCACGGAAACAGTGTCCTCCTCGACGACGCCCACCCGCTGCGCACCATCGAGCGTGCGTTCGGGCTTGCCATCGTCCGCTACGCGGCCGGTGAAACGAAAACCGTCGACGAGGTCCTGAAGGGCTTCTGGCAGGACTCCGATGTCGTCGCCGTTCTTGAGAGAGCTCGCAGGGGCACCCTATCGCACGAGGAACAGACGGCCCTCTGTACGATCCTTTTTATTTTATTTTGCTGAACCCCTCCCCCTCTCTGAAGCCATCCGCACAGATTATACAGGGCTGACGCCCGAAAAGTTCGTTGCACAGAGGCAGTCGGAACTGTCGTCGACCGACAACCCCCCTGGAGCCATGGACACTGCCATTTCCAATGTCCCGGAGCAGATGCTCACCATGCCAGAGAATTTTAGGTCCTACGCCGAGCTTCACGATGGCGACGTGCAGATGGCGGGCCCCGCCTGGGAAGACTCACGCGACGGTTCTACCTCTGTCGGGGCGGTGGAAGGCGCGGGCAACGGCGACGCCAGCTCTGCCGTGTCGCCGCCGGCCTCCGATCCTGCGGCGGCAGACGCTGACCCCGTCGACGTCCGGATGGCGTCGCCAGAACCTCTATCTCCTCGCGGCGGCGTATCCCAGGAGCCGCACGGTGCCTCCTCTGGCCGCGTCGACCCCGAATCCGGCGGCGGGGCGTCAACCGACAACGACCCACGCGACGCTTCCACCTCTGTCGGGGTGACGGAAGGCACGGGCAACGGCGACGCGGGCTCCGTCGATGCGGCCGTGTCGCCAACGGCCGCCGATCCAGCGGCGGCAGCTCCAGCGGCAGGCACCGACGACGTCCCGACGACCCGGCCCGACCCCTCTCAACGCCGCCCCAGGCTGACCCCTCGCTCTGGAGCATCACGCAGGCGCAAGCCTCCCGGTCCACAACGGGGCGAGGCAGAGGACGACGACGGGAATTTCGACGGAGACTACTCTCCGCCCGTCTCCCGCAAAAAACTTACCCCAGAGCCGTCTTTGGGGTTTGGGGAAGTGTCTTATAAACCTCCCCCAGGCATCAAATGGCGCGACTTGCCCCACTGGAAAGTTCCGGAGTTTGAGCATTTCGGCACCTGCACTGTAGGTGGTCTCGTCGTCTATTTACGGGCCCTCTCCTAACTCGTGCCCAGCAACCGTTCTCTTTCCTAGCGAAGACGGACGAAAGCCCTCGGATAGTCGGACAGGATCGGTTCGCCAAACTGTCCCCCGAAGAGCAGCGGTTCCACTCCAGCCGCCCTTATCTCCTCCTCGACGTGGAGCCTCAGGGTTTAGCACCTCTGCTTCCATTCCGTATGGACGCATTGGCCCGGTTCTGGCCCACTACGCGGCAACTTCCGTGTGAAGGGTGGAGGGCTTCCAACGTGAGTTTGTCGTGGTGGGGTCAGATCAAAGGCGTGAGATACCTGTCCGACTTCGTAAACTCCAACAAGGAGATCCTTGCCACCATCCCCATCAAACTCGGCGATGTGCCGCTACCTCCCCACGAGTGCGAGCTTACACCTTCTACGCTTGCTCGTCGGTTTCCCTGACCCTTTCTATTCGTCTAGGTTCTTCCTCGAGGGGCACTCGGTGCTTCACCGTGCCCAATCGCTTGATGGGCACCCCCCCTTAGAGCTCCCCTTAGAGCTCCAGCCGTCCGTTACAATCGGCAACCCTGGGACCGTGCAATCGCGGTTTTTCACCCATGCCGCGACCGCCCTCTCCGTTCTGTCGGGGTCCGTGATGGTCAGATATGCGCCGCCGCGGCAGCCGTTCGCTCGGACAGCGAACGACATCCTCTGGTGGTACGGGGGGGTCACCAACGACGCAACGGCCGCCAAGATGCCATGGACCGAAGTCCGCCTCCAGCGCGGCAGGGTCCTGTGAGCAGCTGGCTTCTCCCTCTTTCATTTTCTCTCTCTCTCTCTCTAACAAAAACTATTATAGGTATCTGGGACCCGGCGCGAGCTACACGGTCACGGTGTTGAAGAAGACAGTCTTCCAGACGTTCAACACCGTGCTGCTCGCACAGCTGAAGCAGCACGCCCTCGCTGGCCTTCATGAGGCGATCAAGGGCCCGCTGCCCCCGATACTTCGGGTGCTGGTTCGTCTTTCCCTGGACTGGGCCCAAACGTTGTTGCACCGCGAGTAACCCTCTACTTCTCGTCTGCCCGCTCCTCACGCCCCTCCAGATTCGTGCCCTGGACAGTATCCCGACATCCTGGGCTACGAAGGGATCTCCAACCTCGTGGCAATACTCGCCGTCGGCTTGCTGTTCCCTGCCTTTCGACGCGGGGACGATCTCGATTCCACGCCGCCGCGACTCCTATCTGGGCAGCCGGCCCTCCTGGCAGAATACCGGGCTCTCCTTGTGAGTACGCGAGCGCTGCTGCGCCATCACCATTTCCAGGAAGCCTGCCAGGAACGGCTCCACATGTCACCCCAGACTGCGCTGGGGGTAAGAAGCCACACTCCCGAAGGAACAATTGGCGCTGATTCGTTGCCTTCGCAGGTAACCTTAGGCACGATTTCGAAGTCGTGCGTTCACCTCGAGCTCCGCACCAAGCCTCCGAATCCCGGTCTCCAGCGTGCCTTCAGTGCGCTGTTCCCGGTCCTCGACCACGTCGTGCATGGGCCGGACCCGGAGTCCACGGGCGAAGGATCTGACCCCTCAGACCAGGAGAGGGGCGAGAGTTGGGCCAATTCGGCCGTCGCACTGTACGGGTGCGAGCCCGGAGCCTGCACCACCCTTCGCGACTGCCATTCGGCAATCCCGCCCTCGTCACCCCTCCTTCCCAGCTTCCTATTCAGGAATCCCCAGGTGGACACGGTCCTGGAGGAAGCGCGGGAACCCACCGTAGCTGACATCCTCGCCAGCGACGAGGAGAAAGTCGAAGACTGCGACTGGGGCAACTGGTGGGAACGGCTCACGCAGTGGAATGATGATGGGTCAACGAGCCTCGTTTTCATGGACCCGATGGCGGGTGCCAATTCGCTGGAGGCGGACGCTGATTGGAGAGGGATAGCTCCGGTCTACATTGACCCGCCAGAGGCGTGGACGCCTGCAGAGCTGTGGACTTAAGCTTCGCACGGTGGGAAATCACCCTCGTGAGCTCCCCGACGGCTTGAACGCGACTCGGCCAGCTGTCGGGAACCAATGCTTACGCTCAGACGAGAGCTTTGGGTCCCTCCGAGTGGTTTCGGGCACGACGCAAACGATCACGAGCCGACCCCGGAGTCGTCCAGCGACGGAGAAGGTCGGTCTGGGCGGCCGCCGAGCCGTCGCCGTCGTCGTTTAGCGAGGACGATGCCCCCTTCGCCAAGCGTGGACGAGGAACGAGCCCCCGGTGAGGGTCTAGTCGCAGCCGCAGCTCCTCAGGGCCCTGGTCGGAAGACACAACATGAGCCACGAAGCTGGGGGAGGAATCTTGGTCATAGGTTGGGGTTCCACGTCTGGGTAACAGGACATAGGGTGTTTGTTTAGATATCTTATTGTATAGCACCATTTGTCTGTAGTCGTATTCAGAAGTCCGATTTCTGAGAGAGAGCCTGCAAGGATGATCCATAGGAAAGTTCAGAATTGAGATTCCGGTCTCGGACCGAAGCCCGTTATTTGGCCGCAGCCAAACAACGCGTCTTTTTTGCTTTCAGCGCTTTCGTTCTTTACCAGTCTTCACCGTTCACCACTTCATGTCTTCACTGTAATAGATCTTCAAGCACCCATTGATACCGTGTGACAATCCCAAAATAATTCTCCTTCAACTTGTGTTGAATCCCGATTCCTCGGCCATCTCGGATGCATACCATGCCTGCTGAGCTATTATATTTCAATACAGTTCTTTCAGTTCTGCTTAAGACATTCAGGACTCTATGCTGCCGCTAACTTGAGTCTGAAGTATTCATCCAGTCTGGAGTCAAGTACAAATCACCAAATTACATCTCAGTCGAAACATTTTCAGTTCCTAGAAAGGCTGGAGCATCGGCAATTAATTCAAATCAGAGATATGCACCCTTGCAAAGTACCTGACAGCAGAGTGAGTCCAATTTTTTCAATCCCAAAGTATGAATGCGCCTCAACTTTGCACCACTTTAATTTCCACGGAACTGCTGACTTTCAAGTCTTCTTCTTTTATTCTCATTAGTTCAGTGTGGATTCCACTTCGAGTTTGCCTCAGGTCGGTGGCTAAGGTCGGAACACAGTGTAGTAGGACAAGACGTTGAACATGCGATCTATGACGGTGTGATACGGACTGCGGTTCTGTAGTTGTCAGGATAGTGGGGTTCCTGGCTAACTCAGAGTGTTCGTCCTCTAGGGGGAAATGTTTGTATTGTGGAGGGTGATGATTTCGTCGGTTCAGCTCAAATCTCATCCAGAATCCGCCAAGTGTGTTCGTACCATCTGTAGGATGGATATCTTCCTTCCCAACACTTATCATGTGCCATCAACCATACTAATCGTTTCGTCCGGGGCTGAAAACATCTAGGTGGCCAACTAACCAGGCAGATACAGTATATGTTTCCGCCCCCTCCCCACGTGTCCCTTTCCCCACTCATCCCTCCCCTCCCCTCGGCACTTCCTAACCAACGCACTCCCTTTTCCGTCGCCGCCAGGGTCCGCCGACCGTCAGTTCCTGGGTTCCCTGGTCTCCCGGCACTCTCCTGCCCCCTCCAAGTTCGCCGAGTGCCGCTTCCTTGAGCCCGTGTCTTAGGCCCTGCTTGACTTCTGTCTTTCAACAGCAAATTTCGGTGGTGCAACGGTTAGTGCGTTCGTGAGGCGTGTGAAAAGAAACTTGTACAGGGAGAGATCCAGGTTCGACTCCTGGCCGGGATACGTCCTTTTACCTCCGAGAATAGTTCGCCAAGGGTACCCTACGAGTTTTGTACAGCCGCCCCTCGACTTGCTATGGTTTTGTCCCGATATCAACGCGGTAAATAGCCCACAATGTGCATGACTGGGTTTCAGCGGCTGACGCTAGTTCGATTCTAGCTCGGGGCTTGCTTCAGCCGAGCAACATCAGGGGATGTATACCCGTCTCGCCGCACCTTGCTGCGTCCGGAAAGCATTGTGGCTAATGCGCCTACGGCCCTTTGAGATTGTCGCAATGTCGCTTTCGTAGGAGATGCTTGGTTCGACTCCAGCTCGGGACTTAGTTCAATTTTTTCCCCTCCAAACAGTAGTTTGCCGAGAGCATTTTGCCGAGTCCGCTTATATCTTTTCCTAGTCTCCCGTAGCCACACTCCATAGAACACGTATTTCATGATAGTCGATGGAATATGGTTATGGAATCTTTTCCACCGTATCTCGTCGTGTCCCGATAGCATAGTGGATAATGCAGCTGAAGTACCCAAGGCGCCTTCTGTAGATGATGTCGGTCCAACTCCGGCTCGGGACCTTCGGCGCATGAAAGACTGTTTTTTCCCGGAAAGCGTTTTGCCGAGTAAGTTCGCCGAGACACCCTGGTATGTCTTATACCCTACCCGCTGAGCCATCTAGCGTCCCGATAGCATACCGGGCGATGCACCTGCTAATCTCTAAACGTGCGCGAATTATGTTCTGCAGGAGATGCCGGTTCGATTCCGGCTCGGGGCTTAGAGGGGTAGTACTTTTTTTTCCCTTCACGCGAGTTTGCCGAGCAGTTTGAGAGACGCGGTTATCCATGCCTCGTCTCAGTCTCGTCGTGCCCGGATAGCATTGTGGTTGATGCGCCTGCGAAAATCATTGAATACTGGACGAATCATTCTTTCCGTCGGCAGAAGCTGGGTCGATTTCAGCTCGGGGTCCTGAGGAGTAACAATGCTTTTTTTCCCGTTCACCGGAGACCGTCACGATAACGTATATCCCCTCCACATCTCCATCGTATCATGCCCTGGTAGCATTGAGGTTAATGAGTTACTTGCAGATTATTGCGTTTCAGAAGCCGGGCTGATGCAATCATTTACGGCAAGCGATGTCGGGGATGTGAGTGTTTTGGAGATGTAAGTGAAATCCAAGATGGAAAACCCTTTAGAAAATATGCTAAATTTTGCACAGCATATCTCGACTATGGCACATATACTGTGCAAAAATCAAACACTTACATCTCACCGCTCAACACAGGGTTTTTGCTTACAACTTACCATTTTTTGAACTTAGCTGACATCTTGCCTCAAGCACTTACAACGTTTGGGGTGATCAGATACGACCTAGTTCAATGCCTTCTTACATTGGGTATGCTTACTGCACGGTGTCGGACTTGAATGGATTTTCGTTGAAAGGGATAAAAATGATCGCAACTGACCTCCAAAATAAAGAAACTGGTATAATCAAAAGTGTATGGTCAGCCGCAACCTAAAGAAGACATATTTTTTAGGATACAGAGGACCATTTGGAATGACTGACACAAGTTGGCTCCTTTTGCCCCAGAATATCCGCATCGGCCTGAAAGAGGCGCCAATGAACGTGATTTCAGAATGTTAATCCAGACCTCGCCATCCGATCTCATCTGGCGGGCGAGAAATCGGGGAATTGCTGAATTGTGCTGTTTGTATGGCACATATACTGTCCAATAAATACAAAAAGTTGAAATGACACAAACCTTGAAAAAAAATGTTGAAATGACACAAGAAATATTGAGATGACATGACAAGAAAAACTGAGATACAGATGTATGGCAGGTAAATGAAATGACACGTCAGAAGGCCATTAGGCTAACAGGGACATCCGAACGAACCCGGATTGCACATCAAATCAGGGATCACTTTGGCATCACAAATTGATTGCCTGGCATGCCGCCTGGCCTTGGTATTCAACTCAGTTCCGATTCTGTTGTCTTCACCATTGAATTCCAACATGGAGACTGGTAGCAAGGATGAGGTTGATGTGGTACTTGCATTCATAGTGTCCTGATTGAGCCATCAGTCGCCATCATTGTTGGTAGTACATGCCTCCTCCATCTATATACAAGGCAATGATTATTTACCTACCAGGTACTTAATAGGCCACAAACATGACACCCAACGGCCCAACGCAAAACACCGTAAGGTCAAGCGACAGTTAATCGTTTTCATAGCCAGCTGATGGCATCTGATGTGATCAAGCACCTGGACTACTGCAGTGTGCAGATGCCCTTTCAACTCTTTCCTTGCAGATGCTGTCATTTCAACCATTTTCGAGTTGCTGTCATTTCAGCTTTTTTTGACTTCGACCATGTCATTTCAACTTTTTTTGAAGTAAATGTCATCTCAATTTTGTCTGATTTATTGGACACTATATGGCCCATATGTTTGTCCCGATCTGGAATGGGGCCGAACTGATTGGATCACACAGCCGGCAGTCATGTCTAGATGTCTGCTGATGTAAGCGGTAGAGGATGCAAGCAACATGAGAGATGTCAGCCAACATGTCTACTTGCAAGTTAGGAGCTCAAATTGGGATGTAAGTTGTCTTCAAAACCCTGTAAAATCTGCTGAATTTTTGCACAGTATATCGCCCATACTCGAGCGTCTGACCGGGCGATGCGCGGCAGGAGTAAGTAGCTACCAGATACAATCATCATCCTCTGATTGGCGAAGATGATGATAGACGTTCGGCCTACGGTACTGAAGTCCACGTCTCCCTTCTGTCCGCATGTCAGTTTCCGTGCTTTTTCTTTTTTTTTTGTCCCCTCTACCCGACACTTATTTCCAGCTCCTAGAAGTCCATGTGCCTCGGCAACATCCTGTCCACCGTCTTGCATGTCACCAATGAGCCTCCCACGGACCTCGAAAGGGAGCTCCTTCGACAGGAGCGAGACGCACTTGTTCCCCAGCTGGCCGGCGCTCAGAAAGATCTAGGCTTCATGACGGACCATCTCGCTGAACTCTACACTCGGTACCGCGAGTGCATGGGGCAGCTGATTCTCACAAATGCTGCCCTGTCCGCTCTGCGGAAGTTTTCCGACGAGCTTCTTGCCCGGATTTTCGCCCATTTCTGTCGGGACAGCGCGCGTCGGCAGGTTACCACAGTCAGATCGGGACCATTGCTGATAGGGCACGTATGCTCACGCTGGCGTGATCTCTCCAAAGGCCTCCCCGAGCTCTGGGACACCGTTCGCCTCGACGTCATGCAGCCCTTGCACCGGCTGCGTTCGGAGTATCTCGCGACCCTCCTCTTTCTCTCGAAGGGGCGAAATCTTCGGGTCGACCTTCGCGGTCCCTTTTGGAGCCGTCTCCAGGGCGTATGGGACCATGCTCACCGCATCTCGGAGCTTTCCCTCCTCCTGCCGTCCACTGTCTACCGCTGCTCACTGTTTGCGCCAGACACATGTTTTGGCACGTTGAAGATAGCGCACCTGTCCACCGCAGCTGGCCACCACAGTAGCGTTGACCCCGCTGCGTTCCAGTGGCTACAGCACGCCCCAGGGCTTCGGCACTTCACCTTGCGGCTTCTACACTGGGTCCGTCTCGACGATTTTGACCTATATCCCATCCCTTGGAAACAGCTGACGAAGTTGCACCTAATCCTCAGCCTACCTCCTGCGACCGTCCACCGCATCCTCGCTGCCTGCGTCGGACTCGAAGACTGTCACTTTGCATCCGTTCGCCGGTACTCGTCGTCCGAAGGTGTCTTCACGTCGGGCGACGCTCTCGCTGTCAAGGTCCCTGTTCTCCACCGCCTCAGGTCCCTTCACATCGACCTGCACTGTGGAGACGAAGAGGACACCCTCGCGCCGCTCAACTGTCCCAACCTCGTCTCGCTCGAAACGACCTGGTACAAGAGTTCGGCAGAGGCCTTCCTTTTCTTCGCCTCCCGCTCCTCCTTCAAACTCCAGTCGCTCTCCCTCGACACGGGCTACTTTGATCCCTCCTCTTTGAACTCCTTCCTCCGCCAGCAGGTATCGCTGGAGAGCCTTATCCTGTCCTTCGGGTACATTCACAATTGCGCGAGACTTTCCGCCGTCCTCCGCGGTGACGCGGCGATCTCCCTCCCTCACCTGCACACCTTTGCCATCACTATGGGGCTCATGAACGGTGAGGCGGGACCCCTGCTCGAGCTTTTGAGCTACGTGGAGGGACAAACACGGAAGCGGGATGGATCCTTCCCCGTTCTCACTTCTCTCCAACTTACCCTCCTCGGAGACAGCCCCTTCTTCATCCCCTGGGATGAAGCCGTGCCTGGACTCCTTGGGGGCTTTGTCCATCTATGCGACAACCGACGCTTGCACCCGGAAGACTTCTACTAGCCATAAACCAGGTTTTCTTCTCAATACCATTCTCTGTCGCCTGTTCCGATTCACTGTATAATTTCATTCAGGTCGACTGCACCGCGTTTCTGTCGACTCCCGAGCGATCTTTGCCCCAGATACAGCGGACGGGACCGGTCAAAGTTAGAAATACAAATACGGCAATTGCATAATTTCAATCAGCACGCCATTCTCTCGACTGTACCAAATTCAACCATCCGGAAAGCCGCAGCAACCATTCAGAGCATATGCCAGCAGCTGCAGGTGAAACTTTTTCCGGTCACTACTCAGATATGAAGCCGTTTGCGTGGGATGGACTTCTACGTAGAGCGGGTGGAGCTCGTCTAGGCTCGCATGGAACGCCTCCCGGCCGAAAAAAAATTGAACCAAAATTGAACAAAAGTATGATATCGCGGAGGTCATCCGCATCCGGCGGCTTCCCCAACCGTGGCGTGAGGCCACAGAGCCACAGCGCACCCAGTCCCACCAGCTCGTCCCGTGGGTGGGGTTCCAGCTCCGACATCGGAGGAGTCGACGTTGAGACAGAAGTTTGGCGTGTCCACGTGCTTGTAAATTACGTAAACAATTTGGCCCCCGCCGGCTTACTTAAGCGGGCACAGCCTTGCTCGGC